AGCCAATGCATTTCTTGATAAACTTAGTAAGCTTGATTCTTTCCTGCTAACACAGGCATTTAAGTTTACCTTGATCAAAATCGCAGCCACCCGCAATAATAAACCATTTTCTTTTCAAATCAGACCTGATCTAGGGCAAGGATATCCGGCCCAAGTACTTGTCATGGATCAAGCCCGTATTGCTGCTACTTGCAAGTGAAAGAATTTCGCTTTCCTCGAAAATCGCGACGAAGGAGATAGTATTTAGACTGCCGTGCTTAACAAACATAACCGTTTTTTTAAGAAACGTCTCTCAAAGAAATCTCACTCTAAGAGATGGATTGCCTGTCATAGATCTGTCAATAGAGGGCTGAAAAAGTTCCCTCTTTTGTCATTAAGAGAATACAGTCCGATTATTCAAGTAGATGTCGGAGTTTGTCTAGATATAACAGGTGCACTCTTCTACCGTGCTAAGGAAAAACGCCGTATGAGCCTTCAGACGTTGCCAAGTTTCCTCTGATAAAAACCGAATTTGCTGGGAAAATTGTGAACATAATTTTCCGAAATTTTCAGAAAATTTTGTGCGCAATTTAATCTAAAGCATTTGAAAATTTCAAGGAAAAATATGCATGAATGTAGTCAATTGCATGTTTTATGAAGGGAAATTTGGCAACTCTCGAATGTTCATACGGCGTTCTTCCTTAGTACGGCAGTCTTAGGGTAGATATCCCTTCTATTGCAGCCTCAACCTCGAGAGCTTTTTTTGAGCTTTGGAGTTCGTTTCACAGAAACCCAATGGCACCATCGCGTTTTCCGCAATTTTTTACAATAGAGGAAGCAAGTATAATGTAAATCCAATTCGCACACATGCAAGAGCTCCATCGCCCGATTTTCGATACACTTCAAACAAAATCGCTCTCTTAGGAAATTTCACTGCGGAGACGAAGATTTCTTTTTCGACGGAACGTTACGGAAAACGTCAACTTCGACTATAGGGGGCGCTCATTCGGTCTAAGTCGTTGTGAGGGTTCATTAAACTGCACAGTACGGATTCGCTTTGAATAAAATCCAATTAGGGGACGGAAACTGCTCCGGCTATACTCTCCGCGGGATTCAACGTCCTGCGCCACCAAATCGTGGAGCTAACTTCCTATTAGTAGCGAGGCGTGAACGATCGATCATCGATATCTCCCCATTTGAAGCTATGGTAAAGAATCGATTATTAAGGTGATCGTTGCGAACACCCCGTTTATCGATCCTTTTCCATAGGTTTGAATGTCGGATCAGTCGATGTATCGCGAAGCACGCCTCTTATCCTCGGGTCCTAATGGACTTTGACGCTGAAATTGGCCCTTCCGACTACGTCTGGCGATAAGAGCAATCGATCCAGCGCCGCGACGCCCTATTCAAATGGAAGTAGTCCGCCACGACGTTAATTTATTCACTTTAACATGAAATCTTGTAAATGCATTTCCGCGCGACGCTCGGCGAGTTTCATCGCTCATTTTCCTCTTTTTTGCATTTTAACTAATAGCCTAGCATTAATTATCACTCTTGATGGACGTTCTAGGTTATCATAACCGAGTAAAAACAAATTTTTGCCGTACTGTGATAATTCATTTTAAATTATAGTATTGAGCTTTTAAGTACATTAAAAATTTTGAACGGGGTTGTAATTTTATTTATTTGTGTAAAATAGGTTGGATTTGAAACTATTCTTCTTTTTTACTTTCAAATAATTTGAGGATAAAATTTCATCTTTCTCCCATTTTCTACTTTTTCTACGGGGGGCTCCAACTTAAGAGGAGACAGTATAGAAAAAGTATGGCTCATTGTCTTGCAGCCGCAAGCTACTATAAGCTTTTTCGTTGTTGTGAGGAAACCATACTCCATTCATACATTCTATTAAGTCATTCAACCACAAAAAATTACTTTTGAGAAAAGACAGAGACAGATTGTGATGCGAATGTAACATTTTTGGGTCTAATAACCGTAAATGCGTATCGATCAAAAGTGTCGGTCGGCCAGGTATCGAAAGTTCATTTTCTAGAATTAACTATTCACCAGTGACGTGGCGTGCTTCGCGATATATCGATTGTTATGTCATTTGAACTTATGGAAAAGGATCGATAAACAGGGTGTTCGCAGCGAACACCTTAATAATCGATTCTTTACCATAGGTTTAAGTGGTATAACAATCTATAAATCGCAAATCACGCCATGCCACTGCATTCACATATAAACGTGGTTTTTTGCCTAACGTTTAATTAGAAGGAACATTTTCAGAGAACGAATTCCCCAATCGGAAGGTTCCAAATCAAGATATTTTTTCAGCGAAATATGCAATGATATTAAAATAATGATATTTTATCTCCATATTTCTGCTCCTGCCGCCGTGGGGTGCCTCGCTGAGGTCAACGCAGCGATAACTCGTGGGATTTTACAAGATATGCACTGATGAATCAGACCATTGAGAATGATTGTCAAATGACCACTCATTGTTTGCAAATCTCATCGTAAATAGCCTACTATGAAAATAGGTCAGCTCACTAAAATATTATCATCGATTCGTCAAACTTATATCAATGATTTGATGAGAATTTTTGGCTGTTGGCCTCGAGCAAATCCTACTATGCATCAAAACATAGACGAGGTGCACCGCTTTCTTGAGCTAATCTCGTAAACCAGAGCTTATTGATAACTTTTTTTTTCTACGTATTCAATCTGATAGAAAGTGAGGATTATATAATGCAGATAATACCAAAATGAGATTCTGAGTCCCTTTTTTGGAGCAGGAGCCACTTCCCGTTGAAATTCCCTCCGCCCCCCTCCCCCTCTTTATCCTGTCGTTGCATGGAGGGGATGAGAGAGGAAGCCAACCGTACACCCGTCCTTACCTGAGCAGGTGAAAAGAAAGGTTCGGGAATAGAGAACTTTGAGCCACATTTTACCAACAGCTCTCCATGATCCAGGGCTCATCCAAGTGCGGCTCACTCATCCTGTGAGCCCATTCCCGATCATCTCCCCTCTAGCTGGACCTTGGTTTAATAGGCGCGTCGAACGTTCTAGTAGGTTCTCTCTTGATTATTCCATGCCAGTGTGCCTTTTGGTCCTACTGGTGCTACACGTCGCTGTTTACACCCCGACGTCCAAATTCTACTCTTTGTTATCACTGTTGTTCGTTGTTGATTTTTCCACACATTATCTCAGAGGTGCAACCGGAAAAGCGAGAGTGTGATTTTTAACCAAGAAGTAACTGTTTTATGTATTCCGAAAGGAGAATACGTACGATGGGAGATGACTTTGGTAAGTTTGCCTTATCGAGACAGGATGAGTGTTCGCAGTTTCTTGTTTACTTGCTGTTAGGAGTTTAACCTGCCCCTATGCGTATCGGGTTATTAGTTTTGTGCCGTTTTATCTACATCATGAAAAACTGAGCGGCCCACCAAAATTAGGTACCATTATATGTTATTAACGGCATAGCGCCTCTGACTGTCATAGTTCCGCGGGAAATGTCTAATGTATGCATCCTAAAGTATTTCTTACCAGTATCCATGGCGGAAAGAGGGGGGCTAGAGGGGTCTCCCCCCCCCCGCAATATACTTGGCCCCTCCCAAAAACTGTGAAGGATTTTGCTAACAAAGCGCATGACGTATTTTTCATCTTGAAAATTGGAATTGAAGCCATTTTTCGGTGAGAATAGGTCACAATTGCTCCGAAAACGACTCAATTTTTCAATATTTTCTAGAGGAAGCGAAAAGAGGGAATGCCTGTCGGTAAAGCATTACAAAGTTAATCCGATAATAACAATATATATAATATAATAAAATTAAAATACTCTTCCCGGTATTATTGTATTCATATTCATCATATCGAAGCAAACATTCCCAAAAAAGGATTTTTAAACGAGCAATTTATTTTGAAAATCACAATTCCTTCTTATTCGATCAAATGTTCATTCCGGAGATCAATGTATCACCTATCGTATGTCGGTGTCAGTACGACACTATGTCATGACCATTGACCATTCGCAGGGGCGATAAAAATGACTCACGCACCCAAACATTCATCTCGACCTTGTACGTCATAAACTTTCGCGGTCGCATCCATCCTAGGCCAAGATGGTGACAGGTGAGGAATTCTGACGAGTCAGTGATGACGTGTTACATAGGTATAGCTTTTGATAAATTCTCCTTGAGCTGTTGCCATATTGCGTGAAAATTATGTGCACCATGTCAACGGGACAAGATGAAGTGTACTTGCTACTGTCCGTTGCAGTACCCGCAATGCTGGCACTGGCAACAAGGGCAACTCGCCGTAGAGCAAGCTTTGCTGGGATGCTGAAAAGGTGTATGGGCAGTAGATCATCGTTGCGTCATGGCAGTTCGACAATCGTGATGAGGCAAAATCTTGTCACTTAACTCGAGATTGCTCTTTTCAGTCATTAGTCTTCATGACTCGTATAAGTTGCTCGTCTCAAAAGCATTTTGAATTTATATTCTCTATTTCTTCAGAATAATACCTCACAATGATGTAGTCGTTGTATACGATCGCCTACGACAAGTGATCATCACGTACAACTTTTTTATGCGATAGTTATCTCGCCGTGTTTGCAATAATTTACTGTGATTCTTTGTAGAAATCTGGCAAATTAGCAACCGATCGCCAGATAATGAATTGCCATTTTTCGGACTTTTTCGGAAAAAGGGCATATGAAGCTTGCAATGCTGCTAGGATTGTGCAATTTCTTATAGCGTTTGCGGCAGATGCAATCCATTCACATTTAACTTACTTCTGTACAATAGTGAGAAATAACTCGGAGCAGATTCAGGCATAAATTAATAGCAGAACTGTCCGATAAGTCACTCACAACTAGAGAACTTCGTTGCACAGTGCTTAGCAGCATAGGAAATCTCATACGCCCTTTTACCGAAAAATGCCTCAATTGTTTTAATTCGAGATTTTTCAACATCATTTGTACAACGAAAAATATTAAAATGTATTCGAATTCTTTGTTGCAGATAAAAATGGGCGTCACACAGGTCGAAACCCAAACAAGGATCGAAGAAAGGCTTTTCCCGTCATTTCTAGATTTAAAATTATGGAATCCGGTCGAGAAAGGTATGTTTTAGTCTTCTTCTTAGTTATTATACACTCATGCAATTTTTAAATTATTAACATTTTTTGGTTTAAAAACAACACTTGAGCTCTCAGAGGAATTCTCATCGTAATATTCCTAACCATACTTTCCTCGTCGCTTAAATACTACCCTCACATGTTTCATTGAAAATTTCACGTGATATAGAGAATATATCCGTATCGACTGCTTCTATTTCTGTTATAAAAAGATCTTTGAAGTGTTCTGCCATCGAGAAGTAATAACTCCTGCTCTCTCAAGTTTTTAATTTCAAAAAGCTCTTGAAATGAGTACACCTGCAGGAGATAATTTCCTGGTTGGGAGTTTAATTTCTGGTGAGATTGAATGAAAAACACCTCAGTTTTGATTGACAATGTTTCATCATTTTTATCTGTTAATTATTGGGCTTTCTTTTCAATGCCGGTCTAAAATGTCTTCGCGCATTATTGTAGAAAATCCGGTTGTTCACGGTGTCATTTGACAACGCTGTCAGAAGTTTGAAAATCTAAAAGTCCAAAAGTTTATTAATGAAAACAATGGAAAATTGTCAGTTCCACAACTAAGGTCTTTTTCATAAAATCTCAACAGGAACTAAACCAACCATAAAATGACTATCCTCTGTATACTTGTCGCAAGAGCTTTTTAATAGTAATAACTTGATAGAACTGGATTTAGGTATTCTTTTCTACTGGCAAAGCATTTGAAATATTTTTTTCCTAAAGGCATTATTAAATTACATAATAACGTGCGGAAAAAGTATTGGAAAAAGTTTGCGAAAACATGAAGAACCGGAAAAGCCTATCATCAGTGTCATAATTATTACAAAATCCTGCGAAAGATTTTGAAAATCTCATTTTCAGAAACAATTAATTTAAGATTAAAACCAAGTAAAATTTCTCTTTTTCCAAACACATGTGTCAGTTTTCCACAATAAAAAATTAAAATGTTCCCCAACATTTACCGCCAGGTAGATATTATGACGTCATTTTAACTAATTTATTTTTTTACGTTACAGACGAAAACACCAAGCAATGGGAACCTCTCTTCCACAAGAGTAAATTCTTACGATCATCATCCCTGAATAGAATTAAACAGTTCCCAGCCTACCTTTGCAATCAAAGTTCTTCTGATATTTTGATCTGGATTCACGCAGCAAAGGCTGCACTAGCTCACACATTTAAATCAGCAAATAAACAGGTAAGCAAATAAATTGTTTTTTTTTCCGTTTAAAAAGAAATCAACTTAACACTTTTCAAGATTGGATGCGACTCCATTGAAGTGGTGTGAAGACTTGTATGGGGGTAGCTTTCACCCCAATCCGATTAATGAGTGCATCTACCGTCAAAATGGGGAAAAGCGGCTTTCGCGCGAGCAAAATTCATCACGATAGAGTTTTTAGTGATTTCGGAATCAGTTTGGACTCCTTTTTTTGTAATTTTTATCTTGTTTTAAGATTATTCTTAGCTGTATTGCCGGTAGAATTTTAGCTAAAAGGTGGAAAAATGTATTTTGAACTTAAGTGGCTCAGGTTCAATATTTGCAACGGTTAAATGGCAAATAAAACGGCATGACTTATCTCTCATTCACGTCTTAAAGAGTTTTATCTTCTTTTCTCATCCGCGCCACACCGTATGTGACGTCATAATGCTCTGCAATTTTCTTATTAGGTACCCATTGTTTTTGACAGGGTTTGACACTATCTATGTTTCTTACGTTAAATATTTGACAAAGAGCTCCGTGCAAATTATATTTTCAAACTGTCACTATAGGTATCCTAAACTCGTCACGATTAGAGTGTTCAAAAGTGTATTTTTTCCTTAAATTAGAAACTAAATACAAGTTGTAAATTAGTATCCTAAAAACTTCGAAGACAAACTTCTTACTATGCCCAACCAAAACTATTTGACGTCATTTTTTGAAAAGTTCTAAAAGGTTTTTTTTCTGTGGGAAGAATATTCTGTGAAAATTTTAAGAAGTAAAATTGGATCTTTTTACTTTGAAACTATAAAATAACAGCAGAAATTCTACAAATTGTAACGAAAATTTTTGATTTTTAGTTCCATCTGACGATGCATTGAGAAGTATCAGAGTCGTTTCAATATTTCGTACTGTTCGTGACTTGTAAGCTTTATCTTTAACCTTCAAATTGCTCTGATTACCCACCTGATCTCTTAGATTCAAGAATTTTCTCTAGGAATCCTTTTAGTAGCAAATTTTGTTCTGGATTGAGACATAAACACCTAACTGTACCTTTGGGTGTCTGTTTGCTTCTGTAATGGAAAAATATAATTTATCTAATCGTAATTCCTTTTTGTTTGTTTCAGTTCCAATCATTAGCTTTCATTTTGGCTGTCTACTCTGCTCTGTTCCTTTTAGCGGCTCAACTGTGTGCCTTTGTTGTCATTTTATCATCTGCACCCATGCCAGCCGGTTTAATTTTCATGTACGGCAACATTGCTTGTCTTTTCGCCTTAGGCCTCTCCATTCTTCCACATCAAAACCAAAACGCTATGAAGAAAAGAAAACAAAGCTAATTGTCAACAGATTGAAGGATGAAGCAAAACTTAGACTTCAGCCTCAACCTCTTACAAAATCACCTACCTACACTGTATATATTGTAAATTAAGTTGTTTAAGTCAGTCACAACTATAAATTGTGATCATCCTTCCCTCGTGTTTTGATCGCTAATACATTATTAGTTGATTTACTCATGTTGATTCATGAAGACTGTATATAGAGTGTTTTTAATTGTATTACTTAATTAATTTATTTATTTAATTTATTCTATTCATAACGAATTAATTTTACGTCATAGAGACTGCGATTGAATGACTGTGCCTTAAACTAAAGTTCAAGGTTAAGTACATACAAATAGTTGCGGTTCAGTTCAAATCCAAAACTTTTTTATTTTTATGTTCCTAATGCATAAAAATGTTTAAAGAAAAAGGGATATATGCTATGAGAGGATACTTATCCTCAATGCCTTCTCTAGCATGGCTATACGTAAATAATTTTAATTTACATAGCGGGGAAAAGCACATAAATATCGCCATAATGATTATAATAACCAATTAAAATATTTTAGAACTGTGTCTCAACATTGTAGTTCCTGACACCTTTGGTCTTTTAATACAATTTTTAGACTTAATGTAGTTTCTGAACTTTGACTTTCTTCGACTTGTATCCGTGAGCATTTAAAGACATCGATTAGTTAATCTCGAAAAGTTGTATCTTTGTTCTCTTTTTTCCCATAAAATTTACACTTGATCGAAATTTAGAGGAGGCTAATCATCTCCATTTTGATAGATGAAAACGCCAGAGTCTTAATTTAATCATTTGTATCGCACCAAAGAAAATAATATTTTCGTACGTAATTTTATTGCTCCATGTAGGTTTTTCGGGATCTGTTTGATTTTTCGCCCAGAAATTTGTATCTTTTTGTGTCTGTAATGAAAAAGATCCATGAATTTATCAAAATTGTGAAAAATAATTGTATAAAGTCCCACGCTAAGTTCCGTAAATACAAACCCCAATTGTTTAAATTACCCGCATGTGTGTGATACAATGATAATTGTTTTTAATATTGCTTTGTGTTTAGGATCAATGGTCTACATTTTACATCTTTTCATGTGAACAATTTTATTCTCAGTACAGATTTTTATAAACTTCCAACTATCATTCAAATTTGCGGACGCTGACAACTTTTAAGAGCCATTTACAAATGAACATCCAAAAGTAAACCGGTTATTTTTTTATTAAAATCTTAAGCTTCCGACTATACTGGAGCTTGATATGTGATTTCCGCTAACTTTTTTTTCCGTGTCTTCCATCGAAATAATTTGCAAGAATTCATAGTCCCATACTTTGCGAAGCACATCAGTTGTCAAAATCTAATTAAAATCTGAGAGAAATAAGTTTCTACCGATTCTACGTAACATTGTTTTGATTGAAAAAAGCTGCTCAGCCCTTTTTCAGATGAAGTTTGAACGCCTAGACTATACTAGAACAAAAACTCAAATTCCTGCAAAACATTTTCCCCTGTCTTCGTTTGTATTTCCAGTCACTTTAATTGCTTTCCATGAATGAGAGGTAAAGACTGGTCATTTATGACAAATTTTTAATTTTAAGATACCAATTGATAAATATGTTATGTAAATGTTATGCATTATGTGATCTATTAAGAGAAAAATAAAAAACAATTTTGAATCTGTTTTTGGTAATACAAAATTGTCTGATTTTTGTACCTTTCTTTCTTAACTCTCGGGTCTCATTCATTTTAAATTTCTTGGAATTTAACGGTTCAATTATATATAAAATTTAGCCACCTTGGATGCCAATCATTGTGTTTTTTGAACGGCCAGACCAAAGGATCCCCTTCAATCAGGAGATAGACAACTTGCATAACAATTCGATGCAGTGCCCATGACTTCGCCATGTAAACGCAATTTATTACAATCTATGCTAAAAAGGTGGGGCCAACTCTGATGCTAACACTAATTTTTTTTCAAAGAGGACAAATGAGAACTCCGTTGGAAATAGAACAAACTCGTTAAATTAAAACTTTACAATTTTATTTCTACCCTCTCAGAGTGGTATATCACAGGTTACCATGCCGGCAGAAGAGACATCACGATTGGCGATTATGCGTGGCTGCGTGGAAACGCCGTCGGCCTATATTATTATGATCCATCGGTGCGATAGGTTTCTTTGTTGTTGTAAGTTGTTGTGCTGTGAGGGAAGCGAGTTGCTGGGGGCTCGGCCTCGGGAGTAAGGAATCGACCACTGTAGAATTAAAAATCCCGAGTTAGCTCAATATTTTTCATCGACAAATAACTTATACGTGGATTAATTTGTGACGTAGCAGGGCCAAATGGACCGCGTTAAGCAGAAAGAAACCAAACCACATCAGCAATTGCCAAATTTAACTGGGGAAATTATTTTTGTGTATAAAAACGTTTGTTCGGATTTTTGTGCAAATTTCAGTGAATTTTCTGCATAGTGCCTAGAAAATTCCTTAAAATTTAAAAAAAAAATACGCACAAACATTCTCCTGTAAAAATTAATTGCCCAGTTAAATTTGACAATAGATGATGTGGCTTGGTTCCTTTCTGTTGAACGCAGTTCAAATGTGCCTTAAAGTTTAGGAAAGTGGATGAGATAAGTACACTAGGTTCATTCTTCATCATTTGGCGCAAACTACACCCAAAAATTTCAGAAATTGATACCTGGGCAGGAATTCAAAATTTCAGGACAAAAAACGGGGAACTCGAAAAATCGTTGTGAAAGTTTGCAACCGCTGCTGCCTGTCGCACTGACGATTTAGGTATTTTCAAACGCATATAATACCATTAAAAATGAACATTTTTGCTTGGAACTTTGACCTCGTGTTTTTGAGAACATCAAGAAGTAATTAGCATCAAAAATTAAAAATCAATTTTTTCCACTCCAAATCGGATTCAATTTGTGGTTCCTCCGTAGGGTAAATTTTGCCTTACTGAATCACATTAATTTCAAAATGTATTATAACTGTATTGGATTCAGGAAAAAAAAATTAAAAACGAGAAAAGGCGATAAAATCTCTCATTTCCTGAAAGTTAAAGTATAGTAATTTCTAATTTGCTCGTCTTTCGGTGATACAAGATACAGCGCCTTTCATTAGTCTAGTTGAGAGAAAAACCAAACACGCAATTTGGCCTAGAGCGGCGCGGCGCGCGTGGCGCAGAGGGTAATGATAAAACGAGGACTTGAGATGAAAAGGAGAAGCCCTCGGCGCGCCAGTCAGCATGAAGCACATATTAGCGCCTACAAGACTCCATGAATACTTCACGCATTGCGCTAAACGTAGTGCGGTCAGCAGCGGTTGGCGTGAAACTCACAGTGCCTACAAGACAGCATGAATACTTCACGCATTGCGTTAAACGTAGTGTGGTTAGGAGCGGTCGGCGTGAAACGCATAGCGCCTACGAGACTGTATTGATACTTCACGCATTGCGCCAAACAGTGCGATTGGCAAGGTGGCGGAAATTAAAATTATTAAACCACATTCATGTGTATTCTTTCATAATTTTTTCGTCCAAGTCTAAGGAATGAAAGACCTTGTCCACAAAGTTTCACGCTAAATTCCGTGAACTTAGACTAGTGTTAACAAGGCTTACTTAAAAAATGTGCCGAACACGAGTAAACGCGTCTTATGCACCCCTCCTCCTCCGGTACGTTCACTTGATGGTTTGTATCGATGTTTCAAAACGAATGAGAAGGGGGCGGAAAAATACAGGCGGCCCATGTCGGCATGTAGGTAACTATGGCCCTGATATGGTGATTATAAACTACTTACATCTTCGAATGAACGCGTCTAAGTGTGTCGTATCGATTTCCGGGATGAGATCAATATCATCATTTGCGCCGGAACTTTGAGATTCCATCATCCCAAAGGGATTCCACTGACTTCTTTCAGAACCCCGGTTTTTGCCTCCAACCGAGGGTAGGAAAGACAGTAGTGAGTTGCCACCATTGGCAATGGACGGTGCCAACTGTTGTCTGTACCAAGTGGCGATGTCATTGAAAATTCGCGAAAAAGACTCGGGGTTTGAGAATGATTCTACGAATCGGTAAACTGGTTCAAGTTGACTCCGTAGACTTCTCTGAGCAGGCTCTTGATTATTCTGGGGTAGTTCTTGCGCGGTGCCATAACCGATAAAGCCGAAAATGACCAGAATTAAGAAGTTTCTTCGCTAAAACAATAACCAAACATCAACTTTCAGCCGTATGCTTTCCGAATGCGAAACACTTTGAGATAAAACAGAGAGTGGACTTTCAGACGGAGTAAAATGTCATAGGCATCTTTCAATTGGACAACATTTTGCAATTAGGACCTATATTTTAAGACTCAATTTACAAACGACGCGACGTCCGTTCTATTAGTTTTCACATGCAAATAAGTGTTTTCACGGATGGCCGAAAAATCGCAGTTCCTACTTGCAAAATGTAGTCCACACTACATACAGAATACATTGCACTTGTGAATACATCCATATTTTCTTCCCACGTTGAAACTTCAAAATTAGCTTTAGAGTCAGTTAATTCAAGCATCTTCGTCCGAATAATTCAAGTCAAATCTTACTTTAGTTCTCACTCTATAATGTAAAATCATGAGAGTAACGCGTAACGCATAACGCCTGAGGTGCGAGGCGCTTCAGGGGAGTTGGATAGCGAAGCATTTAGAGGGTGACCCCTTAATTGGTGACTGTAAAAAATAATTGAAACGTTATTGTATTGAGTGACCAAGTCATGAACACTTAACTTCTCTGGTAATTTTCACATCCATCACTATCCAAGACCATGAAAAAAAATCTGCTCATTGGGAATACACCCAAAATGTGCGCTTACTTGAAATCTTTTCAGGAAATTATTTTACTCTATTTTTTTTATTTACATGTATGAAAAAGATATTTCCTCAGTTGTGACACAAATTTGTGAAATTTCAATGTGAATACTGTGTATTATATGAATGAAGTGAGAAACATTTATTAGGTTTCAATTGATACGCATTGTGCTCATTTTGAAATTATTGTTCGGAGTAATTAGATTGAACAGAACGCAAATCCATCGAAAAAGAAAATTTACTAAAATCGCGGATCTACCGACACATAATACGATTGAAGTGCGTACTTGTACGTTATTTCTTAACAAACCAGTCAGTTATATTAACTGATTTATAGATTTAAATTACATCTGTGAATCAATACGTATAAAAAATAGATGTATAAAATGTCACTTGTCTACATTCCAGAGCATTCGCGTGTCATCCGTCATCATCCTTTCCAGTTACATCTGTAAAATCCTGACACCACGGGATATGAGAGAGTTCAAACAATTTAGCATAAAAACTGTCAGTAGAAGCAAAATAGCCGCGGAAGTAAAATTATGTGAAACAAGAGCAACCTCCTTGAACTTGTATGTGAGTCAACGTATTGTGTTCCTGTTTGGTAATTTATTTTACCATTAGATTTAGAAGGGCTACGGTGCTTTTTTCACTGTTATTCGTGGACTAACAGTTAACATTTACCTACTGAAAGATGGAAGAATCGGTTGGCTCAGTTGACGCCGAGATTAAAAACATTACTAGTAAAAATATACAAATTATAATAAGATACAAAAACAAAACAAACGATATTTCAATAAATAAATTCGCCAAAACCCTTAACATTGAAGCGCTCGAATCGTTGGTGGATTCATGAAGAGGAATGAAAGAAGATATGAGTAGGGATACCATCCCAAAGAGGATAATTAATGAGAATGAACTTACGATTTTTTGACCCATTATCCTTCTGTTAATGAGAGCAATAAAATATTGCTGAAAATGAGACAAAAGACTTTTGAAAATTAACCAGCAGCAAATCTAAATTAAAACACCATCTCTATTGTTAGGACTTGCGGCAAAGAACTATTGTCCGTAAGGAGAAAGCAGTAATCAGTTCATTGGTCAAAGATTTTTATTATAGTTTTAATTCTCCTCAGAGAGCTGATAAACGTAGTATAAAATGAGTGGAAATTCAGTCATTAAACACTCAGTCTTACTTTGTGGCTCATAAAGTTCATACTGCGTGTAACGATACAAGTCGAAGCTTGCTGGAGAGTTTAACCTATAGGTAGGTGACGAGTGGTCATTGCGTCGAATTTATCCTTAAGTTCCAAGTTAGAGCTATGAGCCTCGAGCTCGATAGTCTCATTGCAATTGATTTTAGCTTTAGCCTATCATGTACCTGACCAGTTTCGTTTATGAACCAGAAACAGTGAACAGTGCTCTATCCGGTTGTACTCGACACTTTGAAAATATCTCATGATATCTCAAAAATACTGCTGAGAAATGACTATCCGTACCGCATTTCACTGCAATATGCTGATAAATGCAACTTTAAACGAAGCAAAGAACTATTTTCAAAAGTTTTGCAAATACAAGGAAAACATACCATGCGCACTATGAGAATTGCTCTTCCAGTGATTGTCTCACTCATGACGGATTCGATTCCTATCAATGTCCATAATATATACTGACAGAAAGGAATGAAGACAATGATTATACTTCTTGCCAACTTCGTTTAGATTTCTCAATGTTTAACAATCGCTGAACACTCTACGCATACAATTTAATTTTTTTTTTTCAGATAGACAAGAGGAGCTGGGAAACCTATTTCTCTTCATTTTCCTACTGTGTGAGAATGGAGCTCGGACTTCCGCAGCTTTGGGACACCCTTGTCCCATCGACGAATTACATGTGGGACAAAGTCAATGACTTGTTCCCATCTCCCCCGGCACCAACTTTCGATGCTGGAACAACTGCGGTTCAGAGTAAAGACAAGGGGACGAAGGTTCTGTTTAAATATATCTACTCGTATTTTATTCGCACATGATACTTTTCACGCCATCCCTCGATTACGTAACGCTATAAGCTCATGCCAAGCCGATGCTATGAAGTGGCGTTTCCACAAAATTAACCCGCTTCTATTGGTTCTAGAAAAGGAAAAAGTAACTTCTTCAAAAAGTATCTTCACAATTTATTTAGACCTGAATTGCATCGAGTTGCGCTCAGGAAAGACCAAGTTGCTTTGCAATCATGACTCCAAATGCATTTAAGGGTTGCTCTTGACTAATTGAGAGTTTGGCGTGTAAAGAGGTTAATTAAAGATTTCTTGTCGCTGTAGATCAGTAGAAAACGACGCCTCTAGTATTTCAATTTCTTTCATTATTATAGTTTGTTTATTATTTACTATGGAACACTTTGACAGTTGTAACTCAATTCTCAAGTACCTATGGGTACCAGCGCAAAGTCTCGAGTTCAAGGAACATATACTTGCAATTACGTATTTTAGGGATGGCATCTTGCACCCCCTCATTAAGAATTTTAGACGTCGCCTTTCACCTGACCAAGAGCCACGCCTTAACTCAAGTATTTTTTTAGAATTTGAGGCAGTACAAATAAAGGGTGGTAATCATGGTGATAAAACCTCACATTTATTGTTGACATCTGACCGCGGTAGAATCATGATAATGGTTCCACAAACAAGTTCTCCAGAATAAAATGTAATGGCGCAAAGAAAATTTAGCACAAATTTTACAAAATCTTGTAACTGGACGCACATGACTTGCCGATGGTTGATGTCAATCATAAAATATTGAGGTACTCGTTTATGTCGCAGATTCAAAGGCCTACAACGAGTTACCCCATATAAAGGTGAACGATGGGGCTAGAATTTTTGTTAATTCTTCCATCGATCACCGAGGGAACAGAGACCTTAAGGCAAGACTTTCAATCATTAGGCAACCTGGCTCCTGTATGCTTAAGGGGCCTATTGCCACACCTCGTTAGTTTTAAAGCAGAGCCCCTACTTCCGGTATCGTACAAATTATTTTTTTTTCTATTCTTTGCAATGTGTTAATATTCTGTTTTTCTTTTTCCCCGTATCGTAAAAATGACTAGCAATAGGGCCAGAAAACCAAAAGAAAATAAAACCAAATTTTTTAAACACGCCCAATGAGATTGAAGATGAAGGCACAGAATGCTTTTTGAAAATCAACACTGACTTTGATTACCTGTCCGGAACCACCAATAGCTACGGCTGTTTTGGATTTGAGCATAATAACAGCGAGCCTCGATAAGTAGGAAATGAAAAACTGTCTCTGTTAAGCAAGTTACGATTGGGTCTTCTTTTATTAAAAGTCGCAAAAATCTCCCCCTCATTCAGAGTTAAAAGAAATTTTCCAACCCCCCCCCCCCCAAAAAAAAAAGAAAATCCCAGGCAACCGACATAGCACGATAAATTCATTATGCTCATTCGGAAATTTTAAATTTTTTTGTGGAGAATCGACGAGGTATAATAGTTTCCGAACGGTAGTCATCATCAAATGTTTTTTTTTCCGCAATGCCTCTTCCTCTCTCATTGGACAGTCCTAAGCCTGTTAAAGTGTGAAGGAAAAGTTTGGCTCGATCATCTGTGATAATGGTTATTGCATTTCGTCATTAATGCAGGTGTCTCGAGTTCAAATTCCAGCAGAGTGACCCATTTGATAATCTGACATTTTATTTCCTCATATGGGCACAATGTTTATCCCTCTCTCTCCTCTTTCTCTCTTCCCATTCATACTTCGATAATCATAAAAAGTCGCCTACTCATCAATCTTTAACTTCTTAACAATATCAGTAATTAGACACAAGCTGGTAAAAAAGGTTAAAAACTGAAGAAATATCCGAGTTATTCGTCCGAATTCGAGGGCTTTTTCAGTCAAAAAAAGAGAAGGAAAACAAGATTAAAATACAGGAGTAAAGAGGCACTAGCTCTCGACAAGTCAACCTCAAACATTTCTGTGGGATTGAAACCATTTTGAAGAGGAAATGAATATGTGGGCAATTCAGCAATTCCAGTTTATTTTTATTTACTTTAATGTATGTACACTTAAAAATTTAAAATAAATAATTTTTACACGTGAAAATAGGAAGACATAAGACTAAACACACGTTGATTTCTCTCTGTAAAAAGAATAAACCAATTAATGAAAATACCCCTAAATGTATTATACAACGACTGAATTTAGTTATACATGTTAAGGCACTTGCACCATCGATGTGGAATAGAGTATTTTACAGAACTTATTTTAATGTAGCACGTAATGCTTACAAAATTTAGATAGAAGATTTGTTTTAGTTCTCCAATCCTCATGTTTTTCATTACATGTGGTATATCGAATGGAGACTGAAGCCTGAACATTTGTTTTGCTCTTTCAAGAGGAGAATATCATTTTCTCAGCAATCAAAATAGCGATGCATATCATGACTTTACCAGTTTTTGTCCTCTGTCAATGATTCTCTACTGAACCCTTTTTCAGCCTTATCCCCTTCTCTCAAATTCCTAGGAACTAGCAGAGAGACACACCAGTCAAAATCTAAGTATTGTTTCCACTGTCTCTTGAGGAAAAGTAGCTCTCGACGCACTTTCAAGATCGCAGAACTTCTATCATCAATCATTTTTAATCATCTCACCATTTATCAAAAAAAATCGGCTCCCGCCCTTTGATGTCCAAAGCTGTCATCGCACTCACCGAACCTTGAAATGTAGGTACCTTAGCTGAGGGATGAGGGTGGAATACAAACCTTAGAGCTAAACTCTGGCTCTGCATGGAGAAAATGCGATCTGTTTCCGGCAAACATTGTTGAAGGTCTGTGTTATTTAAGGTACAATTTAGGCTAAAGCTATAATAGTGGCATAACCACTTACGTGGCCAGACAAAGGTGTAACATATGAAATTATGTAATTTTCCATTGTAGACCCTTACGAGATCGGATTTTTTGTGAGGATTTTGTATTAGGAGTCCCTAAATTGGAGGATACAATTGGAAAAACTATGTTTATATAATATCAACTCGAAATGAAGAATCCTGTCATAGTAGGATTTAAAGGGGTTTAAGGGAAAAGAGGGACATAATATTGAGCCACTGATCATGAGGACAAAAAATAAAGCATTTTTTTCGGAATGTAATTAATTAGAATTCATTTTGTAAGGAAAAATTAGGTCTTCCGCTCAAAGCTAAAATAATAAATTAAATTAATAATTACAATTAAAAATACATTGTTTCATACAGATCCATCTAACAAAATTTCTACTCATGTACCACGTAGGAACTCACAATTCCTAGCACCTTAATCGACCGGTGATTTAACACCTAGAAAAACGAGGGAATAAATTATACAAACTTTCAATTGTCTAAAATTTGTCTTTTAATTTGTCTAATATTTTATGATAATGCAGTTCATGAACTTTATGGACTTTGAAATTATTTTTCTTTAATTAAAAAATGAACCAAAACTGCAAAAAAATTTGATTTTTCATATTGGATCAAAGTATGTATAGTAGCGTTTCGAGTTTTCATGAAGGCTGCATAACTCATTACAATATTTAAATTAAAATCGGAATAAAAGATGCGTATCAGAAATAGATGACAAATCTGATCAAGTTTTGTAGACAAACGACAATGCAAGAACTCAATTGCTCGCTGCTTGTCTCATCTGTGCTATCTTCTTTGCAAAGATTTGGTCCTGGAGATTTCACTGCATTAGAATGAAGTTCTTTTCTTTTTGTTTAACCTAGATCAACGCGAAATGAAAATTCAGAAAAAGTATTAATTTTTATGGCTATGTTTTTGGCTCAAATAATACATTTTTTCGGGGTAAAAAAATAAATTGCTTAAATTTTGGACACAATAAAATTTTCAATGTGGGAGACGCTTTCAGGCAACATCTCGGAGACGTAATATAGTCACATAATCAAGAATGGATGAATTAGATGCAAAGTCTATGGTCCAATTAATTTTTTTCTACTGACTGCAAAAACTGACGAATTTCATTCCATGGCAAGTCTGGTTTCTCTGTAACATAAAACATAGAATACATGTATAAGCAATCAATACTTTTAAAAAGACACAGTCGAGTTTTAGTGGCGAGGCTTGAATGATCGATTATCGATATTTCCCTAGTTGAAGCTGTGGTGAAGAATCGATTATTGAGGTGTTTGTTGCGAACACCCTGTTTGACGATCCTTTCCCAAAGGTTAAAATGGCAGGTCAATGGATACATTGCAAATCACGCTACGACACTGTCAAGTTTGGTGCAAGGATGTCTGTATACATTAGTGAGCAAACTTGGGGAAACCTAAACCAATTACATCATCATATGAAACGTCTGCTGCCACAAGGGAAAATCCTTGAGTGAATCCCCTAGGTTTCGTTGAGACAATAAATATCGGTCATGCCAAAATTGGTTGGAGACTTTCAATTATTGACCCTCTTCACGGATTTCTTTTTTTTTTTGGGGGGGGGGATTGCGAAGAGATGAAATCTGCATTTATTGGTACTTAGAGTCGCACTATATAAGCCTTGCAGTTAAATATGAATACCCCTGTTAATGTGTATTGACTGAGACATCGTATGTCCTGTATGTATGAGGCCTGATGCCTATGGCCAAAGTTCGTAATTTTCGCCAATAATTTTTTGCATTTCAGTACATCATTAAAGATTCTGGCGGATCAATTGGTGGAGATGTAAAATTGCAAAAGTACATTTTTGACTCAAAACTTCAAATCATTATGACCTCGACTTGAATTGGACCGAGTTTATCAGAAACGAACCCACATTTTCGAAAAAATTGAGTTAAGAATGTTTTTGAGTTCCGTTAGTCGTTTATTTTCTCCTGCCAAAATCTGAATGTCGAAAAATAGAAATTAGTTTGTGAAAAGAGAAATTCAATAATTTTATTATCTACCTTGAGCCTTATATGCAGGAATAAAACTTCGAACCTCTTTCTCTCAGTTTCAACATAATGTGGGTTGGTTCCTCTGATGAACTCGGTCCAATTGTCATTTCCCAGCGTGTTTACACCAGAAAGTTCGAAAATTCGCTTTAGGTGATGGGGTCAAATCAGCACGAGGTTTCTAGAACTGTGGACTTTCCTTAAGATTCTTCATCATTTTATAAACGGCTGGAAAGTAAAGGGAGAAAGGGGTCTTACCCGAGAGGAAGGAGGATCTCCTAAATCTCAACGGTCGGGCTCTCCGTGCGGAGCTCGGTGTCGTCGAACTACTTTTGACGCCTTCCTGTTTGCTCACACACATCATACCGTACACTCTAATTCCAGGAACACTAGCATAGGTTGGTTGATCGTGGCTCATCGGACCCTCTGAAAATGAAAGTGAAATAGAAATAGAAATAACACTAAAACGCCCAATAAAAATCTTGAAAATTGAATCAGTGAGAACGAAAACACACCAACTCGTAAAAATGAAAATAATCAAGACACACACAATACTGAGGAATTGGTGGAGAAGTTAGTTTAAGAGAAAGATTTTTGTTGCCGAAAGACAAGCACTTATGGATACTTTAAAAGTTCAAGTTGGAACAAATGCGCTAACTTTAATGACCTTCATGTATATTAATTGTCTTTAATGGACAGTGAGCATTTTCAAGTAACCGAGTTGGTGTGTTTTCGTTCTCACCGATTCAATTAGGTCACACCATTATATTTTGTAAATGGAGAATTTGCAAGAAAAAATTGTATTGCTTCATCTGAGAATCCTTAATGACCTGAATTCACAGTATATTTTTTTCTGAAACGGGAAATTGCAGAAAAATAGATTTAAAGGTGAGAAAATACAGTGACCATAGTAACGTCATCTGGTGGCATTTTCCATTTAAACACATGCATTTAAGCACATTAGGTTATTTTTCATATTTCCTCGAGTAATTGTTCAATTTAGAAACCAAAGATACCCTCGTGGTCAGTTCTCTTAGTGGTTTCATTTTAAACATGAAGTTTACAAATTTTCAGACACTTGTAAATTATCCATTTGTTGAATGGTCGTATGCGTCAGAATTCCATTAATCTTTCACAAGATCAGTCAAAATAGGAAGAACTAAATGAAAGCGGTATCCATGCTGGAAACACGAACAACATTTCTGACTAATAAAAAGTTTAAAGGGTGCAAAATTAACACGAAAAGAGAGTGGGCCTTGCGCACATCATTATTTCGCTTTCAATCTAGAAGGTAGGCAAGACAGTATTCACCGTGCTACAATAGTATCCATTCAATAATTTGCGTTTTACATCGTCTAGATACTATATCTTCCAGTAAAACATGTACCACTCATAACATGTAACATGAGTAAAAATGTTTACTCTGATAATTTTGGTGTTAGCCGTAATTTCATATTTAGCTCCATATGATTTACAACAATTACAAATACCATTGAACAAGGAGTCCAATGTTACCTATATCTTATGCGAATATCATGTCATACAAATGATCATCTAGCTGAGCTCCATTAGCTCCTATTTAGTGTTTACCTCTTTGACGACAACCTGGAAAAGTGTGAACTTACGTTTGAAACGAGATTTTGCCTCTATGAGCCTAATTTTTCTTTTCAAATGGTCATAGTATAACTCAAAGAAATACAGACAATGTCAATATTTTTATGATAGGACTCAGATCGTCTTTTATTGCTGATGTGGGAAACATGCATGGCGACTCACCTAAAACGCTGGCAGATAAGCATCTACATATGACCAAGTAATGAGACTTGCCCGTCCGTACATTTTGGAGTGCTAGGAGAGACCAATCTCTTGGCGGCCTGCATGGTCTCATCTCGGCAACCGGTTCGCAAGTTTTTATCAACGTCAGAACCTGAAAAATCAAAATTAAAATTACTGAAACATTCATATTCAAAAATATTTTTTTCTTTTTTTTTTCGCAACCATAATCTGCGATGATTCGCAAATAATGGATTAAGATTAATATATCGATGGCCAAAGTACAAAACCGCGTATCTCCATTGCAGTGTTTCGAAATCTCCGCGCCTGTTTTATTTTTTCGATGGAGGACTAGCCAACTTCAAACAAATTTATACTATTTTTCGCTAGATTATTTTTATACTAGATTTCGCTAACAAAACAGAAAAATCAAAGAATTATGTTGACTAGTCTTCCTAAGAAAAAATAAAGTATGAAAGAAAGTCTGCAACGTTGCAAACGGAGGTACGTCCTTCCGTACGTTGACCATCGATATATTACACACAAATGTATTATTCATTCATGGCATACATTATTCAACACAAAATGTACAGTTTGTTTCGATTTCATCTGTCCTGGCATTCGTTCATTTCGCTCTTTCATAAATTAAATGCGAATTCCGTACATTCAAAATCATTTAGATGTTCAAGTTAATAAATAAATTAATAAATAATTATGACCCATACATTTCTTTTACAACTTAAAAGTAAAAGTTGAATAAAAATAGTAACTTTCTCTTACCCATCACTAGTGAAAAAGATATCCATCAGGTCAAAAATCGCAAATTATTCATTACCTATGGGGTTTTCTACGAATACTTTGCGTTTTTGTACGCTTCTTTTTTTAAGCGTAGAACTGAATTCACCACAAACATTATTCATCGTACACATACAATATTTTTTGTAACAAGGTTCTTGTGCGTATTGTCCGCCACGGAAAATGGTTGTCTGCTACGTAGTGGCACACACCACAACGTGGCAGACGACCATTTCCTGTGGCAGTGCAGATTTATGTGGTCAAAACTGTGTCACGACTTGATCCCTAAATATCGTCTGGCTCTCGGAATATCAACACGTCACGGGGATCAAGTTGACAGTTTGCACTTCCTTAAATCTCTCTCAACGAAGAGTTCAATGAAAAATATTCAACTATTAAAACAAAAAAAGTCCACAACATAACAAAGAATGCCTCTAATGTAATGTCTCTTGGATTGAAACAATACACTGGGGACAACAATTTTCTCATTTAGACTACAAGCTTAGCGCTGTATATTGGCCGTACTATTCGTTATACGTAATCGGATCTAGGAATTGTATCCTCGGTTCATACAACCGGGCTTTTTTCCATAGTTCGGTTCGAGTTGAAAGCTCGATTGCATGAATCGAGGATACAATTCTCAGAACCGAAAGTTACAGCAACATGAGCCGAGATTTCGGTGACATAAGCGGAACATTACCCGCCGATTAAGAACACCGCACTTACAGTTCATAAGACGGAACTTTTTTTTTCGGTGCATTTGAACAAGGCAATAGGACTGCACTCTCAAAATTTTAGAGGTACCTATTCCCTCCTTACCCTTTCCAGATAGGCCCCTGTTTCTGGTGGGTTTAATGAATCGTCCTTCACACATCAAACAGGTGAGAGTGTATCGATATCGATCAGTTCAACATGTAAACATAGCCTCAAAAGTCAATTTAGAAATCTGAGGGAACGGGGTTTTTGTGATATACTTTTGATACTTATGCGTACAAAATGGCATTGAAGAGTGAAATTGTTAGGAATTCTCTCATTTTCAGCTCTCCTGACTTGTATCTTAAAATTTTTGTTTGAGGTTATGATCTATTGTTTTGAAGCAAACGATGCATCGAACCGTACTATCGAATACGATCTATTGGGTTACTCACCTTTCCTCGAGGGTCAACCGAGAGCTCGGTTGTGTGAAGATCGTCCGAGTCGAGACTCGCAGAACATGGCTCTCTATACCGGGATGGACACGCACACAACGGCTGTGTGTAGTTCAATCTAATATATACTGCGTTGCAAACCTGTCAACAAAAAAGGGCAGTTCCATCTTATTAGGCGTGTTTGGGCCAAAAAATACAGTATTCGCGGAATATATATGTTAAGCGAGCGATTGACTTTAAACAATTTTCGATTCATTCCCTAACTTTACATTTTCTAAAAATCGAAATAATTCGGGGGAAACATAGAAAGCCCCGACATGAACCGTAAAAGTCTCCTAAATAATACGATATTCTAGTTGAAATTTTTTCAAAGGAGCGTCCGTGAGAGGCTCCATTTGCGATGCTGATTTTCAAGATTCAATCATGTTAAGACAATTTTTATTCAAGAAATCAACTTATTTTAATGGTAAGTAATGTGAAAGTAAAGAGTAAGGGTGAAATTCATTCATTTCACTACACTGATATTCACATATTTTCCAAAATTTGTTCAATAGACTGTGAGGCTTCTCATGCGCGCTATGACACACACACGGCGCGGCGCCACTGTTATGTCTTAGATATGCCTGCAATCATAGAATCCAGCGTAGAAGTATAGGAAATGGTATCCGTTGATATTGAAGGAGCGTTTTTGTTCCTCGTACAAAGAACAAGATTTGACTCGCCTCTTTCTCTTTGGGGCTTGTTTTGTTTGTAACTCACATACACATACAAGCCCTCATGCACAATGGCTTAATATACGAATATAGCCGAAAATTTCAACCAATTTAGTATACGAGCATTTTTTCGAGACAGCAAGCTATATATAAATCTCCATTGTAAAAGTCTAAATACGTATCTCATCCTACGGCGTTACCAATCTCCAGCCACGTTTCATTGGTTCAAGTAAAAAACAATCAAAACTATTGCTTGAAAATTTCCGAAACGGCTTTTTGAGCTGAAAAATCAAAAATCGTTCGTGGAAAATACTCTTATATATGAAATGAATTTCAAAAATGTCCGATTTTGATGCAAATCCGAAATCGAGTTCATGTCATGAATTTTTACCAAAAAATCGAAAAACGAAAAAAAACAAGATAGTTACGAAAATTGAAAAAGGCAACCTATTTAAATTCAACCTCTTTTCATGTATTTTCTCTAACTTCTCTGTTTTCCTTTTAATCCTCATCTCTTTTTTCTTCTTCTGCTTAGGGACTGTCCCCAAATTACGTATGACGCTATTTTTGGCATTTTTTACCCCCCTCCTTCCCCCTTGTAACGTTTTTGTGACAAAGGTCCCTGTCCTTTAACACGTAAGAACATAATGGCGTAACATTCTACTCAAGGCTGCGATAGGATTGCGCGAATGCCCTTTTTTACCTTTTTGGAGATGCATATAGGATTGCGCGAACTTGTTTGGTACTGAAAACTTATATATTTGCACAAATATTTGATATTCAACGGGAAAGCGTTAATCCGGCAACCTTGGTAGTTTGTGGTAGATAACTACATCGCGGAAAACTGTTCATTCCTTCCTCACTTACGGGTATGTCTCTCTTCGATGGATAGCCTTCGCAGCACGAATGGGCAAGAGAGCTTTCATAGAGATTTAAAAAGTGAACTAGGGGCCTGTGGCCGCGCTGAGCGCCCGCCAACCACTGAGAAAAACTACACGTAAAAAATCGTAGAACAACCATATTCAAGTATCTTAAGAGATGAATGGATTCAAAACCCGACGCGGGTGCACCAGAAAGAAAGGGAATATTTATCTCTGATTGCAACGTTATGCAACATTTTAGGTCTTATTTTCAATAAATATTTTTAAAAAGCTGCACGCAGTTCTTTCTGAAAAGCTTCCGCTAATACTTACCTATATGATCTCAAATTAAAGTATCGAAAATTTCCACGCGATGTTTTCGTTCCTTCTATTTTCTTCTAATACAGCCAAAAAACAATTAAATATTATCCGAGTTTCTGAATCGTTACAATGAGGATACACGTAGTCCATTTAATTGTTGTAAAAACTTGAGCAGAAAGTCAAGAATGAGGACACGCAGTCCTACTGCATTCCTATAGTCTCGAAGGCGCCAATATATGCGTTTCACGCCAACTGACCGACTGGACTACGTTTGGCGCAATGCGAGAAGTATTCCTAAAGTCTTGCAGGCGCTAAATACGTTCAACACCGGCCGGCCACACTGTGTTTGGCGCGATTCTTTGAACTCACGTCAAAAATTCGCGGCATCGAACAATAGAACTTAAAAAGCCCATGTTGTATTTCGACATCGCATGAGCATTCTAACAACTGCCTCGTTTCTTCCGTTTAAATATTTTTTCCGAGAAAAGTTAGGAAAGTTCTTGATACCCGCGACCATTATTCAATCTTTTCACTTCATTCATCATCAGAGGGTAAGACATCGATGACTTGTTAACAAACTAACCTAAACTAGCGGTAACATAAAAATGCGTTATTTTCCAACTGTTTCCTGTTTTGCCGAACTTCTACCTTAAATTGATGTGATTTTAAATTCGCGCATTCCTGTAGCAGATGTTAAGATTTCTATTCGTGCAATCCGTATGCCTTTTCTGCGTGCGCAATCCTCATATATTTTCTTAGACGTTTCGCGCAATCCTGGATTACCGCTCCTCAACACCCCCCCCCCTCACATTACGTAATTTGGGAACGGCTCCTTGTTTCTAATTGCTCCCTTTTTTAAGTTGACTTATACCCGAATATTGTAAATGTATTTTGTATTCACGTCGTTGAAAACATAATCTACCTGTATTTTAAATAGAAAGTGGGCGATTTTAGTAGAATAATTGAACAGCAGAATTCTAGGGTAAACAAAGTACGAGCTCCTTTTATTTTGAAAACTATTTAAGATAGTTTTGCTCGACGCGTTACATATTTTGCGAGACAATGACACAAATTAGTAAATGAATGATGACTGATTTCACGTAACGGAGGATGGAAAATTTCGCCCGCCATCATCTCTCCTCCTGACCGTTTGACAGCGGATAAATCATCGTTCTGGTTTACCGAGCGTAAAATTACACAATAACTCCGATCATTCCGTGCAGAGGAGGATGATACACTGATAATTGCCGTGAGAGAGCACTCGGAGAAGGAAATTTGTCAAAGTACGTATTGTCTTCGACGAAAATTCCCGCGTCATACACGAGAAAATGTTTTAAACAGTATCGTCTGGCTCATCACTTTCGCTTTTCCGAGTTTCACTTTCCTCTTCACACCCACCAGTTTTCCTTCTTCCGCGGAAAATGAAAGGCAATCCTAACCTATAGATCATATTCGATCAGAGACAAGAGACCCTCCACTGGCCTCCTAGCGACAGGTGGAAACTTTTACTTTGGGGGTTTCAACAATTCCTTATGGACAATTATAAGGGAGCAACAGTCATCATCCTAATTTCGGCTGTTGACTCACCTACATGGTTGATGATGAGCTTCGGATGACGTCATGAGCCAATCAAGTTTCCCAAACGTCGGCCATTTTCGGCGTGTTTGCAAAACGAAACTGCCAACACGTTGTTGAACATCAACCATGTAGGTAAGTCAACAGTAGAGTGCTGAAGTCCCGAAAGTAAAAGCTTCCACAACGGCCAAGATACTAGTGGAGGGTCTCTAATATTCGATACACCAAACGGGTGAGATTGTATCGATATCGATTGGTTCAAAACATAAACATAGCCTCAAAAGTCAATTGAGTAATCTGACGGAATAGGTTTTTTGTGATAGATTTTTGATTCGTAGGAGTACTAATTGACCAAGAGTGGTGAAATTGCTACAAAATTTCTCATTTTCGACAAACATCCTAAAATTTTGGTTTGAGGTTATGTTCTATTGTTTTGAACCAAACGGTATATCGAACCACTATCGAATACGATCCATTTAGACTCAAGACTGGAGAGCAGATTTTGCACAAATGGTTGGGGGGGGGGGGGGGTTTGCACCCTCTGTAAAAGGGATGACATCGATGCTTGGTCTCTCTCGAAACGTAGGCGTAGTACCAAACCAAATATACATGTTCATCATTATTTTCTAGCAAACAATATGGGCAACTAGACAAGGTCCTAACTGTAAAACATTCCACATGTCCTCTATTCAAAATGCGGAGACAACAACTTGCACAACGGGAGGTTCAGAAGCTAAATCTGGAGCGAAGTATTACGCGCGAAGTATTTTCAACACGGATCAAATAGGAGTTAGATTACACAAAATGACATCATTTGTATTTTGGCAATTTATCCGGTGTCAATTTTAAAGATTTATGCCTTGTTTAGGAGTTGATACCAAGGCTCTCCGTTCTATGATTCGTTTCAATCGTGAAATTTTGATTAAAAAGCACACTGCGTGCTTTGATGCATTCTTTGTTCAATTTTTTTTAAAATTTGGCGAATTTTCAGGACCTTCAAGGATAAGCTGAGGTTTATATCATTTTATGAGAGAGCTTATTCATGTTCTTACGCTTGTAGCACATGTTGTTTCATCACGTAACAATCTTCCTCCGTTTTTGATACCCTCCCCTCCTTGAAGGCAACCTTGACCCAAACTAGGACCCCATCTGTAATTCTAGACGCTTTGGTCAAATCTCTTTTTGACCCCTAATTTTCCCCGATTGTACGACATTAAATCCAAAAATTATCAGCAACCATAGAAGATTATCCAATTATCTTTGAAAGAACTTTATGGAGTGTTAATATTAGACACCATTAGGCAATTTCAGTACATCCTATAAAGATCATTATCACTCAAGAATGTTCTTTCAAAGATTATCTCATAATCTTATTATTCATAATTAAGTGTTAATGATATTTTTAAGATGTGTTGAAATCCTAATGGCCTCTTATATTTTCACCGAGATCCCTAAAAGTCAATTGCATTCCACTGATTTGCTCTTGATCAGCAAACAGCAAAATTCGAAGAAATCATCGCCGAAGTGCACAGACTAACGACAATGCACATGCAATATTCAAATCTAAGGATTTTTCTCGAAAGTGCGCCTTGAAGAAAGCAATAATTATTGCAAAATACAAGTTTCCAAGAAAAAAAGAGAAAAAGATGAGGTCAGGAGAGAAGAAAAACGAAGGTAAATAATCAACGGCGACGCGGTAAAAATGTGAACTGGGTTAATCTACTGGCAGACTATTCACGGAGTCAATTACTCACGAACTGTTGGAGGTGTCGGCAGTTGGGCACGCATTGTGAATGGATGCTGAATGTCAGTGCTCAACTATTGGTGCAATTTCCTCTAAAACCATAATGGCTCCGCAGAACTTTCTAAAAATAATCTTCAGTCGCCCCGAGGCTTACACGCTTCACCGGAAAAAAAAGTACGAATAGAAAAACGTGAAAATCGCTTGAAGACGAGTAGTTCTCCTTTTGTGGAGGTGTGCTTGTAATGGGCCGTGGACTATTGGGGAGCATAAAATATGAAGAGTCATTGATAAGTTGAACAGATACATGCTCTGCATACAATAAAGTGTGAAGGTATGAATAGACCGGATTAATGTGTGCTGTAAAAATTATGATAAACTGAAAAAATTGTCGCTTCCTCGTAAGACCCTATGACTGATGAAAGGTCCGAAAATTTAACTAAAATTGCCACGGAGTTATTTGCAACGTCGCATTTCGAATTGAAGGGGGGCTCCAACACTTTGATTTCATTTTGTGATGATGTATACATAATCGCCGTTTCAGTGGCAAAAATTTGGGGGTATGTTATGTAGCCCCTAATTTTATGACAGGTATGGATAAATGAGCCATGGATTTCAGAGTATCCGGTCAATGCGTCTCAAGTAGAAACGCTGTATTTCCTATCAAGTTAGTAAATATGGTCCATTGAAGATCAGCCTTCAATTTTGCCGGATGCAACAAACCTTAGACGGAGTTAGGTTGAACAACTCCTAATTTCCCGCACGTGGAAATACCTATTTTCAAAAAAAAAAAAAAAAAAACCCCTACCACTCCAAATAAGAAAAAATTGAAACAGAAATAATAACATGTTAAATAGGAGGATTTGATAGAATAACTGGATTGTGATAATTATCGAAACTAGTAACCATCCGTAAATTATTCCTCGCCAATTGTATTTTTGGACGCGTTTCGGCGGTACTATTTATCGGCGCACAGTAAATCAAGTCAATAAGAGAGGTCGGACATGAACTGTTTGAAAAAAAAACTGCGAAATTTGATGTTTATTCCGTCACATTTTAAAGTTCAAGGGGTGCTTATAGAAGAAAATTTTACGACAAAACCAATGGACTCACTTTGAGAACCTCAAAGTTTTATATAAATGGAGTTATAAGCGTTTAAAGTTTCTAAATTTTGTCAGACTTCTCCTATTGACTCAATCCACTGTGCGGCGCTGTGAACGGCTCACGATTAGTTTCACAGAACCAACTCGATAATGTGGGGGAGTGGTCCTGCTGAGACAGGTCCGATCATAAAATCAACCAAAAAAATAATATTTTAAGTCTTCAGAGAAAAATTCCCTAGTAGCAGAGTTATATAAAAAATTTGTTTTTAAAAGTATAAACCGTAAATAACCACAAGCTAAAGAATATNAAATTAAGCAAAAGGATACTATGCGTATAAAGAAAATTTATAAAAACCCTTCCTCAATTATATAAATTTTATATAAACGTTATCTTCTGAAAATATGAATAATTATTTTCATGGGCATTTTATATAAAACTTATATACACGATATATAAACTTTAGTTAAAATGGTGATTATATAACCGGTATTAATTCCTTATACGTTTGTTAGGAAGGGGAAAGTGAATCATGCTACTAGGGTTGCACAAAAAAATCACATGCAAAGTGTTCTTACGCACGGAAATTATGTTTATGATCCGAACCACTCGGCACTCGGTCCCGAAAATGTTAAAGTCCATAAATAGTGCCAGGAACTTCGAAAGTTTTCTTTGGTACAAAGAATCGTTTTGTTGAGTTAATCACCCTCCTTTATAGGATTTATAACAAAATCGCTATAGCTGCCAATATTTTCTAACTAATATCCTCGAGGTTCTCATTCTCTCTAAAGAGGCAATAATGACACTATGTATCGGTAACTGAATGCAATTTAAAGAGGAGACATCCATACCTGTTGCACAGCACATTCTGGTAAGAGATATATATGTTGATTATGAGGATAGTAATGATATTTTGTTGGTTTGCCTGGAGAGGCTTCAGGTCCTTTTAACGACGCCTCCTGAAACAGAAAGCGGATGGTTTCAATTATTCTGAGTTGAAGGGTATTATAAGATAAACCAATTGGAGGAGATGAAGACGAACAATGACAAAATAAAATCACTAAAATTAATGAGGATCAGTTCCGAATTAAAAAATGTATCACGGGAATTATAAATACACTAGAAATAGGTTAAAAATGCATTGAGAATTCAAAGTCGTTTTCTGTGATTCAGACCGCGCATTGGAGCCCAAAAATTTATTGAAAATGTCTTTTTTGGCTTTTCCGTAAACCTATCTCTTCGTGGAGGCCTTCCATTTAGAAGAAATGAACAGAAACCATTATGAAGGAACAAACATGAATGTGGTTTAATAATTTTAACTTCCACCGCTGCGCCGGGCTGATCGCACTGTGTTTGGCGCAATGCGTGGAGTATTCCTGCAGTCTTGTAGGCGCTAATACTTGTTACATGCCGACCGCCGCGCCTAGGGCTTCTCCTTTTCATCTCAAGTCCTCCACATCATTGCTCTTTGCGCCGCGCCGCTTCCAGGCCAAATTGCGTGTTTTTTAATTAGAAATTACTATACTCTCTGGAAATGAATGATTTGGTTGCCTTTTCTAGTTTGTAATTATATTTATAACTACATTTTAAAAAATTGCAAAATTTACCGCCCTCTAAATTTGCCGCCATGGGCCGCGGCCCATGTGGCCACCCCCTAAATCCGGCCCTGAATTTACCTCCATTTTGACCCAGCAGCGGCCTGATCACTGAAATTGATAGACAAAGCTGTAGATGAAGAAGACAAAAGGGATATGGAGGGATCTTATTGGTGGAAGCGGGTGGTTGCAATGGACAAAGAGGGTAGATAATAGACTAACTAACGGCAACCCAGGAGAGACTCTATAGTCGGGCCTTCATTTTCTCCTTTGGTCTATAGGAACCACCCACCTGAACTAAAGGGATTGCTCCGCACTCCCTATGTTTTTTTTCGTTTATCGCTTCGTCTATCAATTTCAACAATCTAGAGTACCAGGAGTGCCTGTATACAGGAGAGTATTGCCATCTCAATCTTTTTACTACAGAAAAAGTGTGTCGCTCTCTGATTGGTCGGCTATCATAGAGCCCCAAAGATGGCCCAATGTGAACAAACCCCAGCCCCTTCATTTTCAGTTTGACCCAATGTAAAAAAGTTCTACAAAGTTCTAGACGAGATTTTGGGTGTGATTGACATTTTTTTATATCCCCCTCTGAATTGAGTTCAGATCGAACTTTGATGAATATTTTTGCAGAAAATCAAGCTTTGAGTGTGATTATCTTTCATTTCTCAGCCGGTAATACGTGTTCCTCTGGGTCGGGTTTGTTTACATCGGGTCAACTTCGGAGCTTTATGATAGCCTAAAACTGATGAACCAATCAGAGAGCGGCACAGAGATGGCAACAATCTCCCATATACACAGGTACTCTACAACAATCGGCCCACCGAGTCTCTGCCGTGTAAAAATGCTGAAGTCATCGAGAATGAAACCTATTTCGGGTGTTAACGGCACCCCTCTTTTCCGGAAGTCGTAACTGTGAAAGGCCCGCGGCCGGAGGAGATAATCTCCCACTTCGGGTGGGAGCTTTAATGAGTTTTGGGGGCAGGAGGATGGATCCTAGCGGGCCAGGCCGGGCCGTGCAGGGCTTGATTGGAGGAGCATCACGGAGACCGGAAAAGTGGAAATGGATAGCACGATTGGAGATGGAGATGTATTCGAATTTGCTCATTGCGGACAAGCATGAGAAATGGATGCCGACATACTTATTGTCGACCGCTGCCGATGCCGATGCGTCCTAAGTGCCGTGTTGCCGGGCTGTTCCGATGTTTAGGGTCGTCTCTTGCTCGGCATCTGTGATCTGACAGCGGGCTGATTGTTGAAATTGATAGACAAAGCGATAGACAGAGAAGACATATGGAGCCTGCGGGCAGATTTTTGAAATTGATGGACAAAGCCATAGGCAAAGCAGACAAAAGGTATATGGAGAGATCCTATTGGTGGAAGCGGGTGGTTACAATGGACAAGAAGAGTAGGTAATAGACTAAGTAACGGCAACTCACGAGGGACGCGATAGTTAGTCAATCAGTTTCTCCCTTAGTCTATAAGAACCACCCATTTCAACCAATAGGATGGCTTCATACTCCCTATGCCTTCTGATCGCTTCTGAGTCGGTGTCCCATTTGACTTATCTTATCTTTAATTCAAGAACAGAATACTGATAGTTTTTAAAGTTTTCTAATTTTTTAATATGACAGATCTGTATTGTTGATTTAAGCTTTACAAAAAATGTAATCTATTCGACCAGAGTTTTAGATCGATGGCAAAATCGTGTATTAAATCGTGGTTAAATCTGAAACTTTATCTCTTTCCTTTGTTGTTCAGCAAAGGAGCATAAATGATTAGAAGAGATCTATAGGCCAAAACAAATTTAAATGTCTAGAGGGCTCCTTTTTTATGCCGACCGATTCTTACGAAAAGATCGAAGTAATTCTGCGGCGGTGCAAGCTATTCCAGAGAAGTGAAAGTGAGTCCCAGCAGTTACATTATTCACACTCGTTTAAAGTATGGCATCAGCGGACTGACATTACTCTGTATATTTTCAAGACCAGTTTGCCTTCAATTACCTAAGTAGGCAATCTGATCATCTCAGGAGCAGTAATAATTGCTTGCAGCAATGCGGCCATGTTCATTTGAATTAACTATAACACCAGTAGACTCCTCCTTCATCTATAGTGCGGTACGGGCGAAGTCGCCTTCAATATCATGACCCGGCAATATGAGTGGCTTAGGAGCGGTAATAGTTGCTTGCGATGGTTTGGTCATTTGCATTGATCACTCAGCGTAAAACTCGGATGAAAGCAAGGTGGAAGAAACCAAGGCTATCACTGCCGCGGTCATGGATGAAGTCGAAAACCCGACTTTTCAAAGGGCAATAGCTCGATTAATACTGAACGTAGAACGTTGCTGTTTGTACAGATCTTATTATTTTTAGCTAGTCTACAGGGATCAAGCATCAAAACATGATTCTGACAGCGCAACTGACCCATTCAGAACTACAATCTGTGGCTTGGTGTAAAAACATATCCATATCATTTGTTCTTGTATGCACATACGTGTTTTTACACGGAGAAAAAAACTTCGTGCGTGGGACCCGAAGTTGAGGTCTTACGGATCTCTGAAGTTTCCGGATCGCGTATCTAAAAACTTGAGGTCGAGCTGCCGACGTTTGGGTCAGACATCTGAAGTGCTTCGATACAGTCTAAAGGGTTCGGGTCACATATCTGAAGCACTCCGGCACATACCGAAGTGCTTCGATGTGTGACCCGAACTTCCGCAGCTCGACCTCAAGTTTTTGGATGCGTGATCAGAAAACTTCAGAGATCCATATGACCTCAACTTCGGGTCCCATGCACGAAGTTTTTTTCTCCGTGCAGCAGGCACACAATTTGGACTTCATTTTGCTATTGGGAACCAATACAATCTCTGACTCGGTTTAGAAACAACGTATGTACCATTTGTTCTCAACTACACATACCGACTGACGGTGAGACTGAAAAAATGCGTATCTCGGTTGAAGTGTTTCAAAATGTCCGCTTAAACTTTATTTTTCAAAAGGTTACCCAACGAACATTATGGCCTGAAATTCTCTTGTACATTCATCACACAGGTAATAAAAATCACCGAGGTTTTTAAGAAATGAAGTTTGGCAGTTTTTCACATAGGAAATAATGTATGACAAGAAGTCAGCGACGCCGAAAACCGAGGTACGCATTTCTGCAGTTTCACCATCGATGAGTGTTTTTATCGATGAGCCAGAGTACCTAGTTCCTAATTGCAAATTGAAGTCCATTTCAAAATACTTCGCTTCCACTCGGAATGAAATCGATGACTTGCTGCTGAGAATGCTGGATGGTTCCAGGTCTCTCATCAACTTGAAATTAGGCGGTTGGAGCGGTGACGGTAGCGCACGGGCGCGGTGCGGTGGACGCGGGAGAGCATATTTCAAGCGGCGCACCGAAGGCTGACAACAGTTTGTAAATAGGAATAAACTGCTCGTGTCCGATTTTATTATTACCTCTTCATTTGAAACGGCTCGCTCATTAATCAGCCGACTGCTTCACTTCACTCGCCACGCGCCACGCTCTAACGACCGACTCGGCCACTCCGCCGCCGACCAACCGCCCACTCGAAATCCAGCCGGTAGCCGGGAGCCGGGACTCCTGCGGTGTTTTCACCACATATCCTCCGTTTTACACTGCCGCCCGACGCAAAAACGCCGTAAATCCATTCCAGATTTTAAAATCCTTTTTCAGACAAAATGCTTTGTTACAAAGAAAACCTGCCCACCTCCATGATCCATGAACTTCACTGGAAAAAAGAACACATTGGATCTAGACTCCAGACTCTTGAAAACATTGACAAGAAAAAATACTCTTGATTCAATCAGATTTCAGCTGAAATCAAAAGGAAATCCGCTCAAATTAAGAGGCTTCGTTCTGATTTAAGCAAAAATCCGATTGAATCAAGAGTATTTTTACTTGTCGATCTTTTTAAGAGTCTGGACTTTAGATCCAATGTGTTTTTTTCCAGTGTTCCCAATGGTATAACAAAGTCATCTCGAGAGGGCGAAGGATGGATGTTTGCAGCCTTTCTCGCTGTGGAGTATTTTGTCCGAGAAAAATGTGCCGAATCTGAAATGGAGATACGTCGTTCTTCCGTTGGACAGCAGCGCAAAGGCTGGCAGATGATCGAGAAGCGAATGTACGTTCGTTAACGCTATTGGTCTGACGAACCCAGATCGTTTAACTCTCAATATATCGTTGCTTTCTTGTCGAAAGAACGTAACTGGATTTTAAAATTTCAACATTACCATTCGCTGATCGTATTTTTACAAGGCGATTGTTTGACATTTCATCGTTTCACTCATGAAAGAACTTGACTAAATTTCGATGTTGCCTTTACCCTATAGCAAACTGTATTTTTAC